CAGAGAGTGTTGTGGGAGCAGAGAGAGTGAGAGACAGAATCCCAAGCAGCCTCCATGTTGTCAGCACAAAGCACAATGTGGGGCTTGAACTCACAAACTGAGATCATGACCTGAGCTGAGATCATGAGTTGGACACTTCACCGGCTGAGTCACCCAGGGCACCTACATGATTTTTGGAGAGAGAAAACACAAGTAAAGTATGAGGTGGGGGAGGAATGCACATATGGTGGGCAGAGGGCAGACAAGAGGAGAGGACGAGAAGATCTGAAGTGGACAGCACTGACAGCAGAGAGACCTGAATCAGGGGGTTCAAACTCTAAACTGAGATCACAACCTAGGCATGCCAAAAGTCTCACGCAACTCCAACACTAAAACCCACCTAGGCACCCTCATACTTGTGACTTACTGAGGCAGCCCGCCAAGGCTGTCATTTTCAAAGCAGCTTCATCATTTTATCTCCCACCAGCATATATGAAGAGTAACAATTTTCTTGATATTTCACTCTATTTTTTATGTATCAGCCACCATACCAGTGGGTATAAAGTAGTGGTGTTTCATTGATGAATATATATATAAATATTCCCATCTCCACAAAAGTGCCTTATGCCCTGTGGTCACCCTCTCCTGGGCTTGAACTCACAAACTGAGATCATGACCTGAGCTGAGATCATGAGTTGGACACTTCACCGGCTGAGTCACCCAGGCACCACAAATGTTTATTTTTGAGAGAGAAAGAGCACAAGTGTGCATGAGTGGGGGCAATGTGCACAAGGTGGGCAAGGGCAGACAGAGAGGGGGACAGAAGATCTGAAGTGGGCTCAGCACTGACAGCAGAGAGCCTGATGCGGGGTTCAAACTCACAAACTGAGAGATCACAACCTGAGCCAAAGTCACACGCTTAACTGACTAAACCACCTAGGCACCCCTCTATGTTTGAACTTACTGAGCAGCTGCCAAACTGTTTTCCAAAGCAGCTTCATCATTTTATATTCCCACCAGCAATATATGAGAGTAACAATTTCTTGACGTCTTCTCCCACTCATCTTTTTTATTATAGCCATACCAGTGGGTATAAAGTGGTGTTTCATTGTGAATATATATATAAATATTCCCATCTCCACAAAAAATTGCCTTATGCCCCGTGTGGTCAATCTCCTT